TCACTGCACTGTTATACCGGAAATGGGAATAGTAATAGAAAGGTGACATTAAGTGTTGAAAATAGAAAGGAATCAATATCAATTAGTACAGTTAATGTAACGCATTGGTTTACTATACATATATGCGTATGTTCATGTATTTTAGTAGAACAATTTATACACGGTTATGGCGAGATAAGCACGCATCTTACTATTATTACATATCCTATTGTCTGTTCACTGCATCACAAAGATCGGGCACCCCGAACTATTGTGTGAAACGAAAATACGAATACGTCTATTGCACGATACTTTGGCTAGGCTGTGAGAACAAACGCTGGCGTTTATAAAATTTAATCTTGACTAATAATAAGGCATAATGGAATATCATGCTATGAAGAACATGGTCGAGGGAAAGCGGTAAAGTGTTTACGTGACCATTAATAATAGAAAGATTCCTATTTATTATTATTATGTGGTAATTTTGATAGTTAATGTCACGTGAATAAATGTACGGGATTATTTTTCATATGAAATCTATTGCACATATAGAGTTAGCACTACGGCCAAGTAAGAAAGAATAAGGCAGTTAAGGAGATCGTGAGAATGCATTTAGGGAGAGAATGCAATAGGGAGAGAATGCATTAGGGATGCATTTAGGGAAGTGGATATTGAGAGACTAGTCTTTATTTGTGCGTGAATGCTAATACATTTTGCTGCGGATTCCATTATAATGTGATCCCCGATGCTGTCTAGCCATCAGCCTTGCCACCAGTCTGTGCCGAAATGTATAATTAACTACATGCTTCGTCGCGACACCGGATCGACTTGACAAACCCAAGGTTGTGCTTTCTTGATATGATGAAAAAGTCGGAACTGATCATCGGGAATTTGGTAATCACTTTTATTAATCACCGAGCGACGGTGGGATACCACTAGATGGCGCGTTCCAAAGTATTGCTCGCAGTTGTGCCGTTGCAGTTCTGTATTTCACCAAATAAAACCAATGTTGCATTCTTTCTAGGCGCGACTTAATTGCCCAAGAATCCCGCGTTCCGAATGATTCTCCGAATCAAATGATATGCTCAAACAATCCCATCCTTTCACGTGTCCCTTTCGAGAGATTGGAAGTTAAGCAAGAAAAATTTACATCTCGCCGTTCTATTTAATTGATATATAACATTAGAAAAAAAACCCACATATCACAGACTTGAACATATCATTCTTACAGAGTCGCGTTCATATCTTCGTTTGCCTGCAGCATAAACACCCTAAAGACACTGAACAAAACATGTGGACAAGTGTGAGATTACATACAAGTGACCACAGATAATGACTACGTGCTTGTTTGAAGTGGGCATGTACATAATTTTTGACCCGATGAATGGACACAAATAAAAATGATAGTAACAAACACCTGAAATTACTGCACTATTCATTACCAAAACCGATCAGAGCCAATACGCGTCATCGTAAGTCGAATTCCCGTGCTTTAGCATCGGCCATTTGTAATGTTGATCTAAGGATATTAATCGCTTGTGTGAATGCTGGGTGAAGAGATACAGAGAGAAGAATGATAGATAATGATAATGATTCAAGAGACCAAAGAGAGAAAGGAAAATTTTACAAGAACGTTACCTGTCAGACTTTGCTATTGAGTACGTTACTTCATAGGTAGACTGCAGCACTTTTAATCACCAAAGAGTTAATCACAGTGCTAAACAATATGTTAATGGAAAAGCCGACCCGTATGCTCATTAAAATCGTCCGCTTCCTATTATTATAAACCAGAGAGATATAGTGAGCGTCCATCTGAGATGATAATAGCTAATGGCCGTCAAACAATAATTTACGCGATTACACAGTTTTGCATCATCCAACGTCTCCAATTCTGGGAAATACTGTATATCCTTTGAAGCTTTACGCCTTGCGTGCGGTTCCTCATCATGTTTCACGCCCGATATCGCGTTCACTGTTTAGATAATATACAATAATGCGTAAGCAACAAAAGATACTGTAGAAGCAATATAGAAGCAACTGTAAATTATCACGACTCGACTTCAACATGATACTTGAAAAAGCATATTATTAACTCTCTAGTTGTTCGATAATGTGTCATCGATTGTCCAGACTACAGAAACGAGCTCCATTTAATTCATTCATCGAGAAGCTACCGTGATCAAAAAGTTAACAATCGTTACCGTCGATCTACTATGGTAAATAAGAGAATGAATTAATACATTCTGCTACCAAAAATATCGCCTGGGGCATAATCGCTTATCAGTCTTCGTATATTCGACGGAAATCTACCTGCACCCATCTGCATTTCCCCCTATTCTTTCCACTGCTAGAACAAGAAGAGTTCTACAAGAGGATGTGGGAGAAGGTTTGTCGAACATTTAGACTTTCTATTACAAAGTGCAACATCTTTATCATTTTTGTTATTACTGGTGGAGCATCGAAATTTAAGTGTTCGATGAACTTCTCTCTAAAACTTTACTCGCCAAACAAATCTCATTTGACTCTCAACCTATTGATTTTCCCGTGCGCTATACCTGAGCTAGTCCGAACGATCCCGTTTCTCTTATTCTTAATCAGTTCATTTAAATCACATCCACAGCGTCATAATAATCTAGCTCGCCTAGTCCTCGGCAAATTTCGCTTGACGTAATGCACGGGCCATCCAAATAGCTGTTGATCATTTGAGTCATTGGTCAACGCATCTACACGTGTTGATCATATAACGTCGCATCGATCGCTATTAGATAATCAACCAGCACCAAACTTAATATTTTCCCCCCATTGCATTGCAAGAAATGCAAGGCAGAAACCCAGTCGCGTCCTCATCCAGGCACTGTAAAACGGCTTGGTGGATTGCAGTAAAAGTAAGAGGTTTGCATCACGACGCCTAAATCAATATTTATTGTGCATTTGCATTGTAGTTGTTCCAACTTCTACAGGACTTTTGTTTGGCCAAATTGACTTTTCTGCCCACCATTGTTGCATCTCGCTATGGAAGATTATTGTTTCATGTGTGGCGAGAACCTCGACAAGCATAGTTAAAACATGGTGCAAGTGAAAAATGATAAAATTAATCCGTTTTATTGTATTTTTCGCCTCTTTCTCTTATAGAACACTTACGGAATATGATCTAATGGATGAGACCATCCATACCACTTTGTACCGAGTTTGAAAGCGTCAGATGGAACTGATTTCATTACATGACAGGTAATAATTTGATTAATTTTTATACCCTTACACGTGCATTCTGGTATTATTATTTATGCAAGAGCTTGTTGCGGTAGACTATGAGTTGTAAATTCTAACTACAAGCTTTATTATTTAAATTGTTACCTATAGACATGATAGCAACAGAGTATATTCATCGTGCCACCCTCTTGATGTAAGTACATGTTTTTTGGGGGAGGAACTGACTTGTTTGTTAAAGTTGATGCACTAATATATTAGATATACTCAGATATCTCAATTACCAACAGTGGCATTCATATCAAGCTTCGTGAACGGTATGTAAGAATATTTGCTAATTAACAGTCGGGAAACATCTGACTAGGTCCCGTGATTCCAAGATTGCGTTAGCGATGATATTCTGCATAGTTTGAAAGAGAGTTACCCTATGTCATCGCATTACATAATGGTGACTCTTATGTCTTTACTCATAACGGACCGCTAAATAAACCAATCTTTTCTTATTATCAGTAGACACTTTATATACTACGTCGCTCAATCGAACGATGGGGAATATATATTAATTGAACGTGCTACGCCACTGCAAGTATTACTACCCCGGTCAAATGCAATTAATAGCTACACATAAATTGTTAGTAGCATTTGTTTTGCGATTCCTTACGATTTGTATTCCTTGATTTATTTGACTTACACTTTTATTTTTCTTTACTATAGACAATTCAAACACTGTCCTCGACGCAGCAGAACTGCAACATCAGTCAGCGTGAACCTGATATCATCGTCTGCAGCTCTCGAAATGGAAACAAGATGTTCGAAAGTCTGTTGGCTGGAAACATCGACATGGGATGGAAACTGTTGATTGGCTATTGAAGAGACTAATTTGGTGACATGTATATAATCAACCCGTACAGAATAGATCTGCTCGCAAGATGGGAAGGATCCAGTGATTCAGCAATTGGCTGCTTTGAGAAATATACTTTGCGCTGGAGATTACATACAGAATATGATTAAGGTTTTGTATTTAACTTGATTCGTCTTTAAAAAAATCTCCTTACATACTTTATTAATGAATTTACATTGCCACTTACTTTTATATGTTTACGGAATTGGCGTTACTATAGGATGGAAGATGGTTAATCTATTTTAGTAAATGATTTAATAACAGACAATTGATCGGTTATTGACAATGCATCGTGGGCGGGGAGTCACGTTTGAAAAGTAATCGTACAATTCTGTTACAAGAATGCGTAAATCACTCAAAAGTTAGCTATATCTCTGTTGAAACAAACAAGAGTATTGGGCGAGATGTTCAAGAAAAAATTAAAGAAACATTTCGAGGTATACAATTCAACATCATCTTTCCGAGATCCAAATGTATTATACGCTAACGCATATACATTCCATACGTCTAGAACAAGACCCGATGGAACGGAAATAAAATTATCAGCTTCCTTGATACGCAGCCAAACTATTCCAGACTTCCTCGGACTCACCCGGTTCGTATATTGGCCGTGGTCCATCATCACGCGAGCGTGGTGGTCGTGCATGGAACCATCCAGAAGTGACGATGAGCGTCGGAAGGCGCATACTGCGTTCAGGGACAGGAATGGACATATTAATATGTCAGATTAGAATAGTGAAGAAAGCATATCATTGAAAGTACGAGATTAACTTGCGTATAAACAAGGTGTACCTACACCTTGTTTGAGATATATTCCAGTCTCGCAGAGGAGGAAGAAATCTATAAATAAATTAGGGAATGGGGTTTACTATTTGGGGATTGAAGCAAGAGCGCAGGAAAAAAAGGAAAGAATTGGACACAAGAATTCCTATTACCAAAAGTGAGCCAGCTTTAAGCCGCGTGCAGTTGTTGAAGGTCGCCCACGGAATGATTTAATCCACTAAATCCTATTCCGCGGGTTTTTGGAGAGAGGGAAAGGGAATCCAAGCTGCGGTGATGGTCTTTCGGTCTCTAATAATCCCATTGAATGTACAAGTTAATCACTGCACACCCAACAAGAATTGGAGAGTTAAGGCAGTATTTTGATAGTATGATTTCGCTTTGTCAATGGTCAAAAGGTAACTGATACCACGAGTGAACGAATTGATAGTTTGCAACACAGAATAATAAATTATTGTTTCAGACTACCAACATCATTTTATCATCCAAAATATGTTTACATCACTTTGGTTTTCTTGCAGCACGTTGTGGTTCCCATCTCGGGACGTAACTGCGAGACATAATGCCGATGTGCGGCTGGAGTCATTCTCAATATTGTCTTTTTTTTTTTCAATTTCAAGATTAATTCAACTGTAGCGACTCGATTTATTGCAGAATGAGTTTGACCATTTGCCAGCTTTCATGTGGTATTGATGGTATATGCAAACAATAAATATATGTCTCTCACTTATCACTATTAGTGTCCAGCTTGTTGGCTGGCCATTTTTTAGCAATACGACTAGTATGCTTTGGATCATCATTTGCAATTTGATAAAGAACCACGCGATTTTTTTTTAAAAAAAGATGGTTATATAATTAAAGTCCGAAATTGTAATAACCTGCTTTATTGAAACAGCCGTAATCTCTTTTATGCAAAACATTCAGTGTTGAACTTTTTATGTGTTTGAAGACAGGCCTAAGACGTGCCAATGTGTAACAAAAAAATTGGAAAACAAGAAGAAAAACCAGCGAATGGTAAAATAGCTCATTTAGACATTTAGATTTATTCAATATTATATTAATATCGGATTCTTCACCCTGTTTTTCGATAACAAGTTCACAAAGTGTTCTCATAGAATTAATTAAATAATATTAGAACCGTCTCCCACTTTTCCTTCATAAACTTCTCCAGATCACCGCGATTTTTGGGTAATCATTTTCAACGTTTACCTTAACAATGTTCTAAAGATTTTCAATGGATGGCCATTCCATTAAGTTGGCCTAAAAAATGGTTTGGCAATTTTGCTGGTATGGATCAGTCATCGTTCAAATGTTTGGCTGCCTATTCAACGCGCGCTTTTCTTTGTGTTGGCAGTCAACATTGGGAAATGCTTTTCTGATGTCATGGTCTTTTAAATATCCCAGACTGTCATGTGAGATACGTTGACACTGTTTGCCGTCAGTTTAGTTGTCAAAGTTTCGAATGTACATGGCTCGTGCTGCGCTACACGTAATTTTTTTACGTCGGCCGTTACCTCCCTTATGCAACACGTTGCCAGTTTTTTTTCCCAACTTTTCAATATTGTAATAGATTGTTGAAAGCGGTATCTTAATCAGAATGTGCAATTCTTTTGTCAAAAATGTAATATAACTTGGCGTTGCGGCAGAAGACATTTTGAAAACGAATCACGAAAAAGGTAACAAAAATGCAATTGCAAAGAAAGAAAAAGTTACATAATAATATCTTTATTATATATAAAACTTTGCGTTGTTTTGTAATATTCGCGACGCAATTTACATCACACGATAACTTTTTTTGTTACCGTACCCTCTCGTGAATGAGCACCCTCCTCCCATTACGTAAGTGATAAACTATCTAATACTAACAGTAATTACAATAATGAAGACTTTTATAAAAAAATTTATAATTACGTGTTATGTTTGGTAATCAAGGGGTGCTTATTCACGAGAGGGCACGGGTACATTTCGTTTTACTAGAAATTCAGACGAATTTCTAGCATGGCGAGGTTCGGCGTTGCCGATGGTGTTTAGTTTCCCAGCTAATCGTGTAATAGCTGATCATATGCTGGGCAACACCATTGACATTGTTTTCTTTATTAGTCCGCCTTTTTTAAATCGATAAGACGATTTAGTCGAGGACTAAACGTGCATCGAAGCCTCGTCTCGACTTAAGATTCGGTATCCATGCCTATAGATGGGTAATATACCGTTAGCGTCCATAACTACAATGCGTAACTACCCACTTTCAACTAACCACTGCACTGATCTTTACCTTAAAGCAGCAGAAAAGTCACAACTCGCAATGCTGACTCCCGTATTAAAACCGCAGACGACGTCCGGGCAGCGTGTACTCGTCGTGGACGTAATATATAAGCGCGAGAGCGCACTAGAGGCGGTCGCCCGGGGTGGCGGACTAAGAACGCGGATGTGCGTCTTCTGTGGACGACTTGAACAATATGATGGCAACGTTTTACGTTGATTTGATGGTGGCAGCGTTTTACGTTGGTTCGATGGTGGCATTATTAGATAATGATATTGAAACAATTTTGGAAAAGTTTACAGGTGAATATGGCGTTTATTTATACGTTTTGTGGTGGGGTAACACAGATTTGGATATCTCTATGTGCTAAATGTCTAAACGCATAATATTTTTGTAAATTCGCTTTCAAACAATCAGTATCCATTTAAAGCAGTAAATGGTATGGGTTCACAGCTATACAAATAACCAACCACTAACAATATAATAATTTTGTGAACCTTTCTTAAATATAGGCATTAAACTTGTACATTAAAGTTATGCACACGATTATGCAAATTTCCACAATTGGACAAATTACATAATTGCATCTAATTGGGCTTTAACGTCGAGAACCAAGAACAATTTTCAATGGACACAAGTTATGCTACATAACACATAGTACGGATGATTGTGTCAATGATTGATAGTCTAATAAAGTCTGTATATTGTTTGATTTATCATGCGTTTTACTTTATTTTTCATATTTATGGTAAACAGGTGTACTTTTCTTGGTTGCTTACATTGTACGTTAGGGCTATCTGATGGGCTTTAATGAAACATGTTATCATTATCAATTTCACAATAAAATCGGCGCCATCCCAATTCATGGTACCTACCTCATTAGTACGATTCGTAAATCTGAATACCCATTCCGTTGTGGTTTTGTGTTTGTTGTGTGAAACGGGAAGAACAATCTTTGGTGATGTGAGAAGTTGATTAGTGAAACAACTGCCGAATTAGTTTCTGATGGTTGGCTGAATCACTACATCCTAATACCGGGGTCCAATAATTTTGATAATTTTTCAATCAGCGCGTTAATTTTCTAGTATTTTAATATCTGATAAATAGAAGGTTTTGCAAGTAATGTGTTCTTTCTTTATAATCAGCGTAGCCGGTTTTTTATTAGGCCTGCATATTCGAAAACTGCGTAAAACCACCGGCTTGATTATGGGGTTCCGTGTGTAACAAAAATAGAGAATGTTCAATGCGCATAATCGACAGGGTTCAAGGGGTATTGTGTTAAGCAGCCCCAATCTCAAGGTGTACAATGGACAATTCCATTCTTCAATGGACAAATTTTAAAATAGAACGCCTGTGTTTAATATCACAAAGACTAATATGTAAAATGTTATTGGGGTGTGCAAGTATCATTCACTTCCGCGCAGTATATTATCAAATATACAAGAACAAGCAATACGCATAAGGTTGTTTATAATTATTATTAGTATTGGAGAAAACTCTTAAACTCGCATTCTCTTTTCAAAGTTTGCCGCAAGTATCATAATTTCTACGTCTAAAACATCTCACTGTATGAAAATAGACTAGCAATTGTAACGAGAATCAATATCTTGCCGTTGTCAGATTTGACTTATACAAAAAGTATAATATAAACGTTATGTAATATGTTATATTTAGCGACAGTCGTTATTATTTGTATGGATGTGCTACCGACCAAAAAGTCAGACAGCATTTACAGTCTTATTTTGTTTACATGTAAAGAGCACTCAGTGTATACTTATTTGGTTAACAGGCTATTTACAACTTCTTAATCGTTGTTCCATTTACACATTTATTCCGCGTTCCAACATTCTACATTTATTCCGCGTTCCGACATTCTACATTTATTCCGCGTCCCGATATCATTCACACACACTCTGTCTCACGTCTACTCCATATTTGCAAATAGTCATACGTTATACATATAACTACAATAATTTGTTGCTAAGTTAACCATAAGTTGTACAAGGTGGGATACAGCCTTCAGACAATAGTATTTTTTACGGTAGTTTGCAATCCTTGTTTGCTGTTAGAAATTCGGGTTCTGATTAACAATATGGTTGCAAGTAAAAATTTTGTTTTTGTGTAAACTGTGTAAAAATAATAACAAATACACAACCATTCATCATAGTATAAACTCCTTATTAAATTGTTCGTATTTATTAGTAGTTTGCCAAGTCTACGATTTCTTGATAAGATAGGACAGTTATTGCAGATAGCATAGAATTTATTATCGGTTTGGGCTAGATTATGTAAACTTCCAATAAAGGTACGTGTAAATTACATATTTGCAGCTTTGACGTGAGTTTATTATTATTATTATTATTTTGCTAAATTATACAAATGACCTCCAGTTACGCAACAACGAAAAAAAAAATCCAAGTGGGTTATCACAATTTGTGTACAAGTAAATTTTTCGGCTCCTTGTTGGAACAATGCTAATGTTAAAATGCCATATCATTTGGGAAACGCAAGTACAAGAATGGTATGTAAAGTTCGGCTTATCCGTGCAAAATTTTCCGTGTAATTACAAGTTTTCTAATGCAACAGTCAAATACATGTTGGTTTATTTTTAGCCGATGCGCAAAGACACTGTCCGACTCTAGAGTCTCTGGAGACTTTTCTAAAAATGTATCAATAGTATTATACCGTCTATACATTTCTCGAGACTAATTCGTCTTAATGGATTATTATTATTTTTACGTAAGCTACTTCAATAATATTGGTACGTCTTTTTTTTTTATCTTTCTGTGTTCAGTATCCTTGTTTTATCTTTTGGGTTGAATGACGGGATTTTGAACCAAACACCAACACGGTGTCTGATAATCAGAAGGTTAATTTTCCGATTTCCGAGCAACTATCAAGTTGGTTATTACTTTTTGATCAAACTTTGTCATTTGCAGTAAAATTATTATTCATACGTAGAAAGATTAAGGATTTAAACTGCTTTAGGCTCGGCTTCTCGCCTATCTAAGACAAATGAGTGCTCTATTTTTTTTCTTCCTAAAAAAAATATTAGTGTGTTTGCAGAGATAGTGGACTTAAGTTGAGAACTTTCTCTGGATGTTGTATCAGATTTATATATGTTAATATTAAATATAGTCTACGTATCAATGGCTGCATTTAATAATAAGTAATATACAATATGTTGAGAAAGTTGTCTTCAAGACACGTAAAAGTTGCTTGACACTGTTTTACATGCGTCAAGTTGAATAACAATTTATTTATATTTTTGAGCTTTTTTTTTTCAAACATGTTCTTCATAATACGTGAGAGTACTGAAAAGATTTGTCGCCGGGTTAAGATTGACTTATGCAAAATAGAGTTTATTAATCAATTTACAACGTTTTGAGGTATGAATAAAAAAAAAGATCACAAAAATTCATATCGTCATTCTCGAGAAACTAAAACTGTTTTTTGAAAAGCTTATATCAAGACAATTAGATTAAATATGCCACAAATGATAACGATAATACATTTTCGTTTCATGTAGAAATTGGTCAGTCAAGTTTGCAGCGAGTTGGTCAATGCAGAAGGAAAACAAGCACGCCGGAAAACATAGACATCGATCCTCATTTTACTACCACAGAAATGGCTAGTCCCGGTGAGTACTTTCCATAAACCTTTATACAAATCGTACACTATCAGAAGCATTTTCGAACATCATGACCAGATGTCATATTTCACGTCACATGAATTGGAATCATAACAGATTATCTTCAAAGGCAACAGGTAAAATTCGCTTTCATATAATTCAGATCTTTCTTTTCGTAATTTTTGCTTACTCATTCAATGATGAAATAATTTGGCAAGGGCTATTCGGCCAGTTGTTGACACCATCCCAAAAGCTGACTGAGAAGTTCAACAGTATTGTTTGAAACATTGCATATACGTTAATCAAATAGTCTTTTGAATAATTGTATTTTAATTTAGAATTATCGAAATAAAGAATTGGCGACATGACTTTTCAGCACCCCCCCCATGTAAACTGCATATACTCTATTGGGGTAAGGTCTACAAAGACACAACTTTTGAATTACAGAAACTGGCAATGCTGATACGAATACACTCAATAGAAGATGTATTGTAAATATAAAAGTAGTTCTTTTGTATTTAAAAAAATACATTATAGTTATTCATTATTCGTCCCCCCAATAACTAATCGTTCGGCCCGTTGGCCATAATCTTTTTGAAGACCGTCTTCTGTTTGTACAAAACAAATAAAAATTAATAATGTGTCGTTTTACCAAATTTATTGATGCTTGACTTGTGAAAAATACCTTCAACGTTATTCTCCTCCCCTCCGACTCCGGCTCCCCCTCTTGGTTTCGGAGGGCCTCCACCAACTCCTTGAGCGCGTTCACAATGCGCTCGAGCCCCACTACGAGGCTATCTTGCGCGGTGCGCCTTGGCTGCCTCGGCTTTCGTGGCTTTTCGGCGAACTCGCCTGTGAGGCCGTAAGACTTCGTTCCCGTACACTTAATCTTTTTTTTCTGGCATGACGTGCGTGCCTTGGTGTATTTCGTTGGGTAGGAAGACTGGTGCGTGAGGTTCTGGTGTTTGAAGACATGCTGAAAAGTTTTTAGTTTTTTTGTTTTGTTTTTTTTTTCTTTTTCTTTATTCACACCGGTCCATTTATGCGTAAGGCGAAATATTCAAAGGTGTGTAACAATCCCCAGTGAAAATAGAAAATGTTGAATGTCGAAAGAAAATACTATGACACAAAATTAAGGTTTGCTTATTCCGTGTGGTTGTGACCCCGAAAGTTCATTGAAGCAATTGGGCATCCCAAAAATTGGGGCAAGCAATTCAGATTGCAACAAAAGAGTATTGTTCTCGGCTAATATTGAGTTTTCGAGGTCTTTATTTTCAACTGCTTGAGGGACTTGGAAAGGATTTCAAAGGTTGCGCTGATGACCTTGTGACACATTACTGATAACGAGATAAGCCACAAAACCAGCCACCCACATTTATATTTGCAAATATGCATGCGAAGTAGGTACATTAACATTTTATTATGCATCATTATCAATAACGAAAACTCACTCAACCACCAATTGAACAGACAGACCCGGCTTAACGCTGAGCATACACATTCCTTTCTCTTAGTAGCTGCCGTCAGACACTTGTCCACTATAAATTGCGTTTTAACAAAGTTTACGACAACCGTCAAGACCGCAGAGCAGTAAAACACCCTCTTCGAGACCACCGGTTCTTTTCAAATCGTCAGCCCGTCTTCTTCCCGCCTCAATCAATCATTGGAATCTTCAATCATCGGTATCTCCTTAACCATCGGCATGTCTTCAATCATCGGCATCACCCAAACCATTTTTTCTTTTCGATGACGACTGCAATGCCAGGGTCCGTCTGACAGATGAGGGAGGGCTCGTGGCATGCTTGAAAATGATTTGGTGGTGTTCCAGACGACTGCCGGATGACAACAGTTTCGAAAACGTCCCAGCTCGCAATCCTTACGAAACCAGGATTCCATGGACAAGAGGTTGGCTAATACTTTCCATGAGTAAGAGGACTACTATTTACGCGCGCAATCTGCTAGCTCTACTCTCCGAGAATTCCTCAGTCGACTGGTTCGGAAAGAATACTTCTTGCCAACCCGCCCATTATTCTAGTTTATGCTGCCAGATATGGGTATCAAGCAACTGTTGCCATCGAACGATCGATACCTCTCGAACATTAACTGAAAACTTCCCGACGACTAGATATCGTTCTCAACGCCAAAAATCAACCCTGGATCGGAAAGAATACTCTAGTTTATGCTGCCAGATATGGTAACCAAGCAACTGTTGCCATCGAACGATATCGTTCTCAACACCAAAAATCAACCCTGGATCGGAAAGAATACTTCTTGCCAACCCGCCCATTATTCTAGTTTATGCTGCCAGATATGGTAACCAAGCAACTGTTGCAATGGATAAAGTATTCTCTGTTGGCAGACATACGAGAAATGACCTCGTTACGTCACGGATGAGCGTTTTTTCTGTGTTTTCGATTTATGCGCGTTGCCATCGAACGATTGATACCTCTCGAACATTAACCGAAAACTTCCCGACGACTAGATATCGTTCTCAACACCAAAGATCAACCAAACCCGCTCTGCTAGAGGAACTTCTGCTGTCTGAAGCTCTTAACTTATTGGCCGACATAAAGAACAGATACGTGGAGGTGCTGAAAAGTTTTGTCGCCGGGGTCATATTTCAACGATCAGCAAAATGGAGGTGGTTGGGCTCTCTATCACGTAGCTGGGAGTGCTCAATGACCAGGACATGACTTGATCGTTCCTGGGGTTGAAGGGTTCAGGGGGGTCTCACTCTCACTCCAGATTGGCAATATTGGACAGGTTTATGCGAAATAATAAACATGTAAAGCACATGCAGTATAATCTGTCGTTCCGCAACGTTTCGAGGAATAAAAGAAAAGATCATTCTCAAGAAATAGATTTTGAAAACCCTATACAAAACGACTGGACAAAAATGAGCCGCGAACGGCAATCAAAAGGGGAACAGTCTTATCCACTCGGGTCGGTCCGCCGCAGTCCCCTCATTTCCGCGGCAATTTTAATCAATTGGCAGATTTCCTTCAGTGAAATATCCACTCGGGTCGGTCCGCCGCCAGTCCCCTCATTTCCGCGGCAAGTTAAATCAATTGACAGATTTCATTCGGTGAAACACACATAAAAATCGACGACCTTGTTAACAAGACCCTCACATTACTACACGGAATTGCTAGTCAAGGAATTACTCATATTTTGCCAACGAACTAGGCTTAGAAAAGGGGGAGAATAGACTACAAATTGTGAGAACGACGGCAAAATTCTGATATGTACATTCTATATCATCGGGATAGAGTTGTAGCCCGAATTGTAGTGCCAGAAGTTTTTTCAAATTTTATGGAAGAACAACTGTACGGGATGTCATGTTTCATCACGATAATGCTGCACCACATAAGTCAGCAGTATTAGTATTGAGCAAATAATCTTGCTGTTTATCAACAAGAGGCGATTGAACATGTTATATATGAATATGAAATAAATTGATACATTATAAATAAAATTATTTTGCTGCTTATCAACAAACATGAGGAATCTTAAGTAAAAGGGCGTTTGACCTTGTTAGATTCTCTACGTTCAAATCCGGAATAGCAAGATTCTATCTCTTCACTCTGATGGCACATAAATAAAATGTAAATAATAATAATCTAAAATTTTGATATACTAAATAAATTCATATTAATATATGCTAAATCATGATAAACAAATTAATAAATTACAACAATTAAATACACAAATACAAAAGTGTATTATAAAAAATTAATACATAATGCGTGATAAGAAATCACACATCATAAATAAAAGTAATAAATTCATATGTTATAATAATAAGTAAATTTATAATAATAAACAAAATAATAAATTACAACAATTAAATACACATATACAAAAGTGTATTATAAAAAATTAATACATAATGCGTGATAAGAAATCACACATTATAAATAAAAGTAATAAATTCATATGTCATAATAATAAGTAAATTTATAATAATAAATAAATAAACAAATACACAATAAATAATTGTGCTTCTCCATAGTAATAGTTGAAGAGGCACAGATAATGCCACAGCAAGCAATTTCGACAGATTACTAGAGATTATTAACAATAGTAAATTTACAAGCTTGTAACGGTTATACTAACGTCAACACATAATTTACATGTTCAATACCTTTTTGCTGGGTCAACCATCCGTCGGCTCGAGCATTT